ACCCCACAACTGAGGTACACATGCCTGACAATCGTGAAACTTGTACGTAGAATATGCTCATTCATAAGACCGTGCTCCCCTAGTCACAACATGCTTGCTTCCGCGTCGACGTTCCGTGCCAGTATCAGATGACAAGGAGAGGCCATGTGGCACTGTTTCAATATACGTACGCACGAGAATTCTTGTCTACAACTCACTTTATAGGCTGTACAACGGTGCCCGCCAACCAACGCTCAGTAGACACGTTAGTGTGATCGTTAATAACCTCTTCGCCCGGNTGTGGCACTGTTTCAATATACGTACGCACGAGAATTCTTGTCTACAACTCACTTTATAGACTGTACAACGGTGCCCGCCAACCAACGCTCAGTAGACACGTTAGTGTGATCGTTAATAACCTCTTCGTCCGATTCTGCCCCTATTTGCAGGTACTTGATACCCTACTTCACCGCGTCATGTGGCGCTACACCAAGGCCCACATGCAGTCGACACGCTCCGACCTGTCCGAGGGGCAACTGCTCGGCGAGGAACGGCTGCACGAGGACTTCCTTGCCCAGGTGGCTCTTTGTGTGTACGTCTGGTTTGCCCCCTCAAACTTGTGCTCTTGTGCCTGAGCATACTTCAGGAAATACGGTGTGCCACCTACTCACGTTGTAAGGGAATATTCCAGCGGGCAGCAGGTAAAGTTTGAGATGCAAACAACATTGTGCGAACGCAGCATGTACGAGCATGTACACGAGTTCCGATGGTATGGCAGGTAGTATCCGTGGGAAGCAGCAGCACGGTACACGCACTGCATCTGTTACATGTCTCCGCATGCTTGCACTCAGCAGTAGCACTGCACTGTTCTGCAGCACAACTTGACTCGGTCTGTCGTGACGAAGCGAAAATTAGGACGATGTTGCGCAGACGACCTATCCCCCCCCTGCCTGCTGGCGTCATCATGTCCCACGCCAGGTGGTCACGCCGGCGCTGCTGCACGCGGCGAATGATATCGCTGCGCTCCCGGTGGTAAAAATCGGCGCACACGAGAGTGTCGTTTGCAAATGCGGCAGGAAGGCGAGGGCGTGGGGGAGGCTCTCGAACGGCGGGTTTAGCTCTACCAACCAAAGGGCGTTCCAGGAAGGGTGAGCTTTTTCGAACCAACCGTTCCTCAACCTCAACGGACGAATGCATACATGTAGAAGGGGGGAGTAGTCGACGCCAGCTAGTAACCAGCGCATGCCGAACGATGCAGATATGTGGTGGGATGAGATTTTTCTCGCCAGTTGAGCATGAAGACAATACCAGCGTACTCGTTTTCGTTTCTTGCCGTCGTTGTCTAATCTGGGTGTGGGATTCTCGCAAGCAGAGTCGCACGGTGGTTCTTGTGTTTTACTAGCAGAGTGTAGGTGGGAGTCGTCAACAACTTCGTGCACGTCGAGAGTCGGCGGTCCGGCTGGTTTGATGGTCTGAAAGCAGGTAACGTGCGCGTGACAGCACTCATGCCGTGAGTGCCCCCCCCCCCCCCC